AATGACCCTGACACAACCGCGGCCCCCCACGACAAAGTTCTTCTGAATCTGAAATAGTTTTTTTTTTTTTGGGAAATTTCAAGATCTTTTATTTTTTATTATCTAATAAATCACTTAATGAAATTAGATTATCTTTCCAATCAGTGACCTTTGATGCTGGACATTCCAAAAACAGGTACTATCGACTTGGGCTGTGACTGAAAATTATCTAAGTCTGTGGCCAAAAGGAAAAAGAAAAAAAAAAGGGTATCTCTGGTATTAAAAAGTAGCTATACACTAAATATGATTTGTGATTGCACCCAAACTCCTAGAGTTCAGGGCCCTCTACAGTTAACGCTTTCAATTGTCTCATACTAGAATTCTGGCCCGTGCATAATTTCAAACCAAAATAATAAAATTATTGTTGTTAAAAAAGGTTATTTCAAAAGAAAAGGATAAAAGGAAAAATAGTATCAATTTTGGAGTCAATCTCTATGAAAATGTGTTATTTTAAATAAAAGTAAAGGACAAAAAATTTTCATTGGTAGAGGGTATGCAATGACACACTCATCAACTTAGAAAAACTCTTAAATTTCCTAAAAATTATATTTAATTATCATATATTCTTGCACTTGCCTATGAAAATTTGTCCCATCTTAAAAATATTCCTTTCTTTCATCATATTATACCCTAAGAATTTAGTATATTCTTAAACTAGTTATGATTCTATAAATATAAAAAATAAACAAATTGTACTTGTGGTATTAGTATTAGGTAACATTTTGTTAAAATAACTACATTAAAAAAAGGAAAAGAAAACATAAAAAATAAATAGAAAAAATAAAATTCAAATTCAAATTAAGATTAAACAATATGCATCCAACTGTGCTTTTATTCATTTGTTTTGGTCCTTGTAGGGGCTCAATGGATAATTTGACCCCAATAGCATATGTATAAGAAGAGAAATGGACATTTTGATCCTTATTTTTGGAGTATTGGTCTATTTAGTCCCTTACCTATCATCGTAACCATTTTAGTCCCTTATCTTTACTATAAAAAAGCCAATCTAGATCCTCTACTAGAAAACTAAAAATTGCTAACTATAAGTTAGCTCACGCACTATTAAAAATGACCATTTTACTTCATTATTATTAGAGTCATGTTCAATTTTATTCCTTATATGTCACCGCATACCTTTCGGTGTGTGTGCATTTTTTTTAAAAAATTCTGCTCTTTTTTTATTTCAAAAGTAGATTTTTTTTTTAAGTAAGAGATCTTGAACTTAGAACCTTTTCCTACTTATAATCCCTCTAACATTATCACTCAACACAACCCTTCCCCATTTCAAAGATAGATTTATGGTGCATGAAACCAGCTCCATTAGGGTTTTCTAATTTTCTATAAAAAAAATCCTATGTTAAATTTATTTTGTGAAAACAAGGATCTAAATAGTTGAAAGGATAAGATTGGATATAACTTTAAAGATAATAGATCAAAATGGTCATTTTCAATGGTGCGCATGTACTATACGTGACTGATTTTATTAGAAAATTTTAATTTTCTGTTAAAAATCCTACATAGTTTTTTTAATAAAAAATAAGAGACATTTTCTATTAAAAGTTTTTTTAATAAAATTAAGAGATTAATATAATCGCAGTGATAGATAAAGAATTGAATTGTCAAGACCCCAAAGATGAGAGATCAAAATGGCATTTTCCAATTAGCTCAACCTGCAAATACGATTGCTTCCCAGCGTGCTCGAGAAGCACTCAGCTCGCCCAACGTGCACGAGACGTACCAACTTGCTCATCACTCGAGAAGTAAATGCGAGTACTAAAGCTACAGGTCAAGTCTCCGGTGTCAATTCAGCTTGTTGGAAGTCAGGATGTCCTTGCCGCTTACTTACAAATGCTAGAGCTAGAATATATTCACTTAATATCATTGATCTAACCACCACCAAAGTTAAGGTTAAGTTAAGGTTTGATGAGGTGGGAGATAAGGTTTGATGCTTGACTAAGGATGGCAATGGCGGGCACCCACTCTGCGGGGGGCTAATGGGGCGGGGGGGGGGGGAATTTTTTTCCCCGACTTAGAAACGGAGCGGGGTACACCCGTTTAAAAAAAAATAAATATATAAAATATATATGTATATAATTATATACATAATATATAATTTAATTAGTTATAAACTTATGATAATGATATTATTAGTTATATGTATTATATAATGTATATTAGTATATGTAATATAATTGATATTATTAATTATACTAATAATTATATATGTGTACTAATACAAATTATTAATTGGTTATACTAAATTTACTAATATATTTATACTAAATCTCTAATTACACTTAATACAATAACATTTTTTTCTCAAAAAAAAAAATTAGCCCCACTCCCCCTTCTCTGTCCCCGTCCAGCCCCGCCCCGCTTCCCCCGCGGGTGTCTCCGCGGGGCTAACAAAAATTTGTTATATAATTTTATTATGGTTAAATTTTAGTAAATAATCAAGTACTAAAATATCAACACATCATCAAATTATTATTCATTGTAATTTTACAATTGAAACTTATAAAAACAATCAAATAAAAATTATTTGAATACAATCCAACATGATGAAATAAATATAACTAAAGTAGTCAAGTTTTCACTTTTTGGCACAAATACAATCACTAATTCATTATTGTGCTTGTGTTTTTTTTAAGAAAAAAATGTTATTGTATTAAGTGTAATTAGGGATTTAGTATCAATGTATTAGTAAATTTAGTATAACCAATTAATAATTTGTATTAGTACACATATATAATTATTAGTATAATTAATAATATCAATTATATTATATATACTAATAGACATTATATAATACATATAACTAATAATATCATTATCATAAGTTTGTAACTAATTAAATTATATATTATATATATAATTATATACATATATATTTTATATATTTATTTTTTTAAAGCGGGTGGCGGGGCGGGGGTACACTCCCCCGCCCTAACCCCCTCCCCATTAGCCCCCTGCAGGGCGGGTGCCCGCAGTCACACGCCCCCATTGCCATCCCTAGAAGCAGGGCGGGGCGGGGGGAGCGGGGAACTGGGGACGGAACAGGGGGAATTTGTAGGCAAAACCCCGCCCCATTGCCATCCTTATGCTTGACGGGGTGGGAGGTCAAGAGTTCAAACCTTACTTTTCATCACTTATCAGTACTTGTGACTTGCCATTACATGTGATTTCTTCTAAATTCATATGAGTGCCTAGTGCACTCGTTTGATCCGATGGAGATTCAGTCCCTATCAGTATAATTGTAGATTCAGTTGGGCTCTCATTTGTAGGCTATCAGTATAATTGTAGGTTCAGTTGGGCTCTCCCCCTAGAATAAGTAAAAGTAGGAATAGGTTATAGTATACCTGTTTAGTTCGATGGTGATTCAATTCCCATTGATTTTCCTATAAGTCCAGTTGGACCCTCCTCTAGGATAAGCTAGAGTTGATGTAGGGTAGATATTTGACAATTATAAGTTATTATTGATCTGGCCTATGATATTAAAGAGGAATTATAAATGTGTTTGGATAGTCATTATTTGATTACAAATTATTTTAAATAATATTTCAAATAATCTCCTATCCAAATATCCTACTGTGGCTATAAAAGAGGAAAAATATCCTAGTTGTACAAGTCTGAAGATGGATGGACAGTGCCAATTAAACATGAAAGAGGATGCGAAGATTGAGCATAAAACTTCCAATTAACATATCGTAATGGACATAAAAATTCCACTTAATATCACGAACTCCTATTAAGTCCTTATATATTTTTTTTTGTAGTATTCAACATTTATTTTCATTGAACTTGAAGTTTTGGACTTCAACCATATTATTGATTCTTACAAGTTTGAAAATGTGAATAATTACTTTGATGAAAAATTCATGTTCTAAACTAGTAGAGTTAGCTTTCATGAAGAAGTACTTTGGCAGCTGAATTATGGAAGTTTAGCATATTCAATTTTTTAAATACATAAAAAAAATTTCATTAACAGATTACTGGAAATCGTCCTGCACGATTTGATTTACATTATTGTCCTAATGGTAGGTTAAACATGCACTAGAAATTACAGATTTGCAATTTAATAGATATAATTGATCTAAAAATTCTTCAATAAATTTGAAAATTGCAAGAAATTTCTAAATTGTCTTTGAATAGATAAATCACTGCAACTTCCTTCTGTACATATTGTAATTGGTAAATATGCTAATCAACGGTTTGAAACTCCAATAATGATGATGAGATCTGTTAAAATAGATTCAAGACAACTAGACATAAAATAAATTTAGATCTAACAACAAAATGAAATAATAAATCAACTATTGTTTTGAAGGTGACTGTTGTTTGGTACATTTAATGACTCTTCAAGCAGTCACTCCCAAAATCTCAATCAACCACCAAGATCTTCATAGCAAACAAGGAATTCCATGACTTGGGTCATGGAACACCGTTTTCAATGGAGAAAAAAAACTCAAAAGTAGGAAATTTTGAGCATATATCTTGACTAGGCCTGAATTCACATTGTTGCATTATTTTCATGAAAATTCCCTATGAATATAGTAATACACTTGTGCTTTTAAAATGAGTAAGAATTAATCTTTTATATACTGACAATATATATACTATTGTTGTTGAATGCATGATAATTAATCTAAATTTAAATTTGAAATCTAAATTTTATATATTGTCACATATTCAACCGTGAAATTATATATACAATATCAGTATATGTAAGATTAGCTGAATGGGTAATGTAATATATACCATGTGGTCGTAATGGTGTAAAAGATGCATTTATACTTGAGCAACTTAATTTCAAATGCTTTCGATGGCAGTACGTTAATTACCAGGCTACTTCATGCACCAAAGCAAGTCTAGGGATCTATAAATACTCCCATGTCTAAGAAAAACCCTCCAAGGCCTTAACAACACTTGTACATCTTTCCAAAATCTATTCACCAGTGACAATGAGATCCCAAATGTATGAGCCACTTAGTTCCTGCAATATTTTCTCTCTGCATGTTATGTTCTTATGCTTCACAATTCTTCAACTAGCAGCACAGTCCAGTTCCCAAATGTATGCTTCTAAAAGAGAGCTCAGCTCGCTTTTAACATGGAAAACCAGTCTTGATAACAAAAGCCAAGCAATATTGTCATCCTGGAATTCAGACACTCCATGCAAGTGGGATGGAATTGGATGCAACAAGGCCGGAAAAATCGTGCAAATTAACCTCACACATTTTGGTTTAAAAGGTACACTTCATGATCTAAATTTCTCAGCCATGCCTCATCTCATTGGCATCTACCTTTCTAACAATTCACTTTATGGTACCATTCCATCAAACATGTGTTACCTTTCTCGACTCGAATTTCTTGATCTTTCCAGCAATGCTTTCTATGGAACACTTCCACTTGAAATAGGTCAGCTGACAAATCTTCAATACCTTGATATGCATAGCAACCATATCAATGGATCCATCCCTCAAGAGATTGGGAAATTAAGATCCCTTGTTCAAATCTCATTGCGGGGTAATGATCTTAGTGGTTCCATCCCTATTTCTGTCAAGAATTTGGTTAACTTGGAACGCTTGTATCTTTACGAGAACAGGCTTTCGGGTTCCATCCCAAAAGAGATCGGCATGTTAACCTCTCTCCGAGAGATTGCCTTGCAAAAGAACAATCTGACCAACGTAATTCCAGAATCCCTTGGGAATTTGAGAAATTTAGCCCTTTTGCATCTTTCGGAAAACAATCTATCAGGCCACATTCCTTCTTCACTGGGAAACTTGACTAAACTAAATATTTTGTGGCTGAGTAGAAATCAACTATCTGGCTCCATCCCATCTGAATTAGGAGAACTCAAGTCCTTAGTTGAGTTGACATTGTATGCAAATGAGCTCACTGGCACCATTCCATCAGCAATTAGTAACATTACATACTTGAAAAGGCTGTACCTGAGCAGAAACCATCTCACTGGCCAGTTGCCCGAAAACATTTGCGCCAGTCAATCACTCACAGACTTAGTAATGTTTGAAAATAATTTTTTTGGTGACATCCCCAGAAGCTTGAAAAATTGCTCAAGCCTACAAGTTCTTTTCCTTGCATTGAACCAAATATCAGGAAACTTATCTGAAGGTTTCGGTGTGTATCCAAACTTGTCGTATATTGATTTAAGTTACAATAAGTTCTATGGTGAGTTGTCTACAAAATGGGGACAATGCTATAAATTGACAAATTTTGTGATCAACAACAACAACGTTTCTGGTTCACTACCGCCTGAGCTTGGAAAGGCAATCCAACTGGGTCGAATTCAACTCTCTTCCAATCAATTATCTGGGAGGATTCCAATAAGTTTTGGTAGTTTGACTTCGTTACTCTACCTTGATTTGCACAACAACAAATTTTCAGGTAATGTACCACCAGAAATAGGCAAGTTGTCCCAACTCCAAATTCTGAGTTTGTCTGGAAATGATCTTAGCGGTCCGATTCCAGAACAAATAGGAGAGTGTGCACAATTACGGAAGTTGGACTTGAGCCAAAATGTACTCACTGGAAGTATTCCTTCTGAAATAGGAAACTTGAATGTATTGGAGACTCTTGATCTGAGCCAAAATATGTTGGTTGGTGATATACCACAGAACCTTGGAAGCCTGAAAAGCTTTGAGAACATGAATCTATCACATAATAACATATCAGGGTCCATTCCTAAGAGCTTTAGTACATGCTTCAGTTTGCTTTCTGTGGATATATCATACAACCAATTGGAGGGCCCTCTCCCCAACATAAGTGCATTTCAAAAGGCTCCATTTGATGCTTTGAGAAATAATAAAGCTCTGTGTGGCAATGTTGTTGGCTTGAATTCCTGCAACTCATCTTTGAGAAATAAGGCTAACAAAAGCAAAACAGAAAGAATCATTGTTCTAATTGTTCTTCCTGTTTTAGCAACCATATTTCTTCTAACGATCAGTATTGGGATTTTCTTGATTATACGACCACGTACAAGAAGGACTGATCAGCCTGGAAGTTCTACATTACCTGAAAACTTGTTTGCCATTTGGAGCTTTGATGGGAAGTTCGCCTATGAAAACATCATCGAAGCAACGGAGAATTTTCACCCAAACCATTGCATTGGAGAGGGAGGATGTGGAAGTGTTTTTCAAGCTCAATTGCCTAATGGTCAAGTCTTTGCTGTGAAGAAACTCCATGCAACAGAAAGTGGAGTACAAGGCACCGCAAAAGGATTTGAAAACGAAATTCGAGCACTGACAGAAATACGACATCGCAGTATTGTGAAACTTCATGGATATTGTTCACATCCACGCCACTCTTTCTTGGTTTATGAATTCTTCGAGGGGGGAAGCTTGCTGCACACACTAAGTGAAGATGAAAAAGCAATGGAGTTTGAGTGGATCAAGAGGATAAATGCTGTGAAAGATGTTGCAAATGCATTGTCTTATATGCATCATAATTGTTCACCTCCTATAGTTCATAGAGATATATCAAGCAAGAATATCTTGTTGAACTCTGATTATGAGGCTCATATATCTGATTTTGGGACTGCAAAGCTTTTAAGGCCAAACTCATCTAATTGGTCTTCATTTGCTGGAACTTATGGATATGCTCCTCCAGGTATGTCCACTGATGCCATTTCACTAGTACTAACATCATAACATCCAAATTCATGTTTTTTTATTATTGCAATCTGTGGTTTAGAAGATATTGGTGACCTACTTACCTTTCGGTGAATTCAGAATTTAGCTCAATAACCATAACCAATTTTCTTCATGTTTTCACAGTTGATGCGAAATGTTTGGTTTTCTCATTTTCCTCTTTTCTTCTTCTTCTTATTCTTCATTTTCATGTTTCTTTTTCTCATAACTGATTGCAGAACTTGCTTACACTATGGAAGTAACTGAAAAATGTGATGTTTATAGCTTTGGAGTGGTAGCTCTAGAAGTGATGATGGGGAAGCATCCTGGTGACCTCATTTCCTCATTAGAAATCTCATCATCATCATCAGCTTCCAACAACATGATGTTGCAAGATGTTTTGGACCCAAGATTACCACTTCCTGTTCAGCAAGAACTAGGCCAAGTGGTCTTGGTTGCTAAACTAGCACTATCATGCATAAACTCCAATCCTAAATTAAGGTTGCCCATGCAGGAAGTCATCACCCAGCTATCAGCTAAGGGACTTCCATTGAAGAGCATACCACCTTCCATTACACTTGGACAGCTAAATGGATCTTAAGTTACAAGTATTTTATTTCAATTCCTGAAGTTTTATATGGCTCTTCAACCTCAATGTATTCTAGTATTTGCTTTTTTGGTTTTTTCCAATTTCATCTTACCATATTTGTAACATCTTTTGCTTCACAGTTTTGATGTGCATCTATTCTGTTCAATTTTGTTTTAGTATCAATGCAACATATTACTGGAATGTCTTATCTTCATAAAGATTTACTCGTGTTTCTAGTGTGTATATTGAGGGAACTGCAGAAAATTTGTAGTACAAGATACGTTTTGGATTGTTTAAGTTAACTGAAAAACCTTAATTCCATATTAACTTGAATATTACATTTAAATCAGGAATGGAGATAGCATGGAGACAGTAGAGGCTGATGATACATAGATATAACATCTAATAATATCTTCTTACCATATGTTAAAGGGGATTAGAGTCTCACAAGTTGAGTTTTGTCTTGTTTAAATTGGTTTGTGTAATTCTTTCAACTTTCGGTATTAACTCCGACAATTTAAATGTGAACTTGAATTTGTCAATTCATGCAACTAAGTTGACAATTACATAAAAACTAATATTTTGAAAATAAGATCGAACTGGTCGATTTGATAATTGAACCGTGAACTGGCCGTGCCACTTGTTTGAATTTATATTCAACCCGAAATGTGAAATGAATCAGTCAAATTCGATCAAGAATCGGTTGAACCAGTCAAAACTACTAAAAAACTAGCCAATTAAACAATTTTTTATCTTTAAAACTTTTAAAATAACCAAATCAGGGTTGAACGGTCAAACCAGTTGAATTGTTCGATTCACTTATCAATCTGAATTTCAAAATATTGATCAAAACTGTACAAATTACACTAATTATACTGCAGATTACATGAATCGGTTTGATGTGGACATTTTTCAACTTACGATGCCCTAATCTAGTAAAAGGGAGCTATTGATTGAATCCAAATGAAATAGGCAGCTTCTGCCTTCTTGCCGTTATAATTGCCCTTTACCCCTAAACATCCTCACCTCATCCACTGCCTCAGCTCTACAATAATTGCCTTGGACTTAAAGTATCGAAGTAGTCCCGGGGTCTTGATCCTGATCAGATCCCAGGATTTCGACCCAATCCTTCTGTCCTAAACATTTTTGTGCAAGACCTCGATATTGATCTCCATCAGAGGCAATTGCCTCTTTTGTAACGTCCAACCAGAAAAACCTATTGAAAACTGTTATTGCACGAAAATAAATCTAAGAATGCAGACCCGAATTTTGTCAATAACCATAAACAGAGGATGGTGTGGAAGTTGAATGTCTTAATCAAGAGGGACATAAAAATTAATATTCGCATGCATGAAATATTCAAAATGCATGATATAAAGAGCAACTCAAGTCCTCAATCTGGATTAATTCTTTAATATTTGATATATGTCTAAACATGGTAGGATTATTTATGTTTATGTTTATATTATCTTTGAATGCCAAATAAGTGTTAATTAGCTATTTACAAGAAGTTCCTAAGTTTAGCAAACCATATAATTAACGGAAGGATCATTTTAAACAAAAGGCTTAACCAAATGTAAAGCCTGATTCTCATGTCACTAGTGCTTAAATAAACTTGTTTCCCAGCAATAGTTGCTTAATGATGACGTTTAAGCGTGGTTTAATTAACTTTTTATCGGTACCTGGTATTAATAGGACCATAGCTAGAAAAAATTCTTTATACCCATAATAATATAAATTCGGATGGTGTGAAAAAATTTAAATTTGGATGGCGTGCTTTTTAACACTTTTTTAAAAATATGTTACTCTATTATCAAATAAATATCATGTCAACACAAACTGATTCGACTGGTAAGGTTGAACCACTTTCTCAACAATGGTCTTGTATTTGAGTTTTATTGACGACGTGAGAACTGTGTTGATAAGTGATTAGGATGAAACTGTTTAAGTGACTTATGATATTGAGGACATGCCTTGACCTGCATTGATGACATGAGCTAAACTCTCTTAAATTTTTTTTCCTGCCAAAAAAGAACCTTCCTAAATCTTTTTCCTAGCAAAATAAAATCAAATGAATATCATAGTTAAGACACAACTTTTGAATAAACCTTTCACTCTGGCAAATCTGAATATACCATTAAGAATCACCACAAAATCGTTCTATTGATCAACTTGGAGTTGAACTTTAGATAAATATGTTGGCACTTTTCTATAATTGACACTTTCCTTAAACATGTGAAGCAAGTTATGTCGGGCAGTTTGATACTTCAAATTTTAATTTACCGTATAATTCATATGTTACTCTTGAATATACATCAATCCTTTGTCACGTAGGATAAACATGTGGGTAAATCTCAGTCATATTTACTGTTTATCTCCTAAACTATATTTTTTTTCTCACTTAATCTCCTTAGACAAAACTACCCCTCTATTATGCTAAATTTTTTTTTATCTTTTTTCTTATTTCTTTTCTCAAGTAATCTTAAGTCGTGCCTAAATTTTGATCACTCTAATGTATGATGATAAAGTATCAAAGGAGCGAAGTTGATTTACTAGGATATATATTAATATTTATTTGCATATCAAAATAGTAAAAGATCTAAAAATTCTTCAAAGGAAAAAGAACGAAACAGTGTCCAAATAATCGGCATGTAAACGTGATTGTTAAAAAAGAGTCATTTATTTCAAATTGTCTAATTATAAGGATATAAAATAAAAAAAATTCCCTTTGATTTCTTAGACTGAAAAGAGAAGAACATTAATTAGAAAAAAGAAAAACATATGTTATTTCTTCGTGTAGTAAGAGAATGGAAATCCTAAAATTAATTAGGGTAGATTATGCCAAATAAAAGAGACACAAATTAATGTCGAAATTTCTATATGTAAAAAAATTAATAAGTAAATTAAAATTCAATTAAAATTTAATTCTTTGATGAATATAATAATGAACAAAGGAATATTTTGGTTGCTCAAGAATAAGGATTTGAAAAAAGAAAACTAGTTCGAAAAAATAAAGAAAAGAGAGAGGAAAATAATTTTGTCCTGTAGAGAATTAAATGATGATATGTACATATACATATGCACATATATATTTATACACACATATATGTTTATATAATATATACATATATATATTAGGAGATAAAACTGAGAATTAGGGTATACGTCAAGGAAATAAATTGTAATTAATCCTAAAATTATAGTTAGATAGCAATAGTAATTGTTTGCCATTTTCTCCCATTTTCCTTTTATTCACAAACGTATTTCCAATAAAAACATAATTAAACGTGTTAATGCAAACACGTTTAACATTAAAAAATTAAGAAACGTGTTAACCAGTGTTGGCTAGTAAAGGCGATTTTAATGCTCCAACTACCCTTTCAAGAGTTATCTCTCTCCCTCTTCTCTTCTCTCTGTATCAAATGAGCCAACGCAAATTTGGGTGATTTTCTTTAGCAGTATTTTTCCCCACGTCTTTCTCTCTCTCTCTATATTCCTTTCTTTTCCTTTTACCTTTCTTCCCCATTTTTTCTCCCATCTTTCTCTCCAACCAGTCCCAATTTCCAAAAAAAAAAAAAATCAAATCCAAAAAGAAAGAGGGAGGGAAAGAAAATTTTTTGGGGATTTAATCGATAGTTATTCATGTAAATACTATAGTAAAACCAAAATTTTGTGAATAATAACCAATTGGGTTTGTCATGGCTTCAGTTTTATCTTCCTCTTTCGGTTTAATTTTTCAATTAGGTTTTGTTGTTCTTCTTTTTTGCTCGTCAATTGCTGAAGCTGATGATATCTCACGCCCATCCCCCAACGCCTTGAATTCTAGCTCCTGCAACAACCCTTATCGGTTGGTAAGTTTTTCCTTTTCGTTCACCAATTCTTGTAAATTGTTGGTTATTTTAATTATTCTGTATTGTTATTCCGCTTCATTCAGCTAGTGGAATTTGTTGTTGTTTTACTTCTGTGGAGTTCCCAATATTGATGGTTTTTACTTCCTAGATTTTGGTTTTTTAGTTTCTGTTTAAATCAATAAATAAATTTGCTTAATTTAGCAATTGCTTTGCACTGACTGGAAATGTGTGGGCTTAATTAAGGCTAGACGATTTAAGTATGTATATTTGTTAATTTCGGCCTTGATGGTAGGAATTAGCAACATGGATGTGAAGTTTTCTACGAATATGTTAGGGCATAATGTTGGTTGTTATTGCCGGATTTTATTTTGACGGTAAAGAAATTTATATTTAGGGGATATAAGCTGTAAATAGTGTTTCGTGCTACCTTAAGTTTCAAAATGCTTTATTTCTGGGCTGCAATGTGAGTGGCTCGGTGTTGGATTTTGCTAGCAAAGAGATCTATCTGCACAGAATATCAAACTGCAAACAATCTTTTGTGCTAGGTTAATTTTTGAAATGCTTCATTTCTAGGAAACAGTTGCAATTTGATTGACCTGGAGTGTTTATAAGAACTGTTCGGAGTAATATGGAAAGAAAGCACATCAACTGTGAGATAAATCTACTGAGAATAGTAATGTGTTATATTGGATTAAGCTGGATTTGTTTGGGGATGATGAAGTTAGCAGAGGGAAAGTAGAAAATTGGGGCCTCTTGATCTTTTACAAAATTGCAGCTATTTTTTGTTAAGTTGTTTATTCTTTTTTTTTTTTTTTGGTTCTTTTGGGTTTTAAGATCTCTGGTGATATATAAGTATATAATTTTGGTTTCAGAATGACTTCTTTTATTTGTGCCATCTGGTTGATTGTTATTGTTTGGTGTTATAATCTACAGATAATAGTGAAAAACTGTTTATTGATTCACAGAGGAGCATCCATATAATTTTTCTCTCATATAAGTAGATAAGCAGCCACGGAGAAGATGGAATTGCAATCATCATATAAGATTCATGTTATAAAATTTTACTATCAATGAGGTTATTGCTTCAGCAATACACTGAATCCCACATATTTTACAGGTTAAGGTCAAATCATGGGTCAATGGCGATGAAGACGAAACATT